GAGGGTCTACCATTTGCAGGATTTGTGTGTTTGAATTGTATCATGATTTTGCAAGTAGTATGTATGTGTGCACGTAGGGATGTATTTGTATGTACCGTAGCCATTGGAATGCAGTAATGTACTTCTATGTAATGTTTGAATTTGAATATAGAGTTGTTTGTATGCAGTGTTTAAATACTAGTTTACATTTGTGTGTAGTATTGGTGTTTGAATGTAGGGTTGTTTTCGTATATAATTTTGGCATTTGAAAGCTGAGGTGGTTTGTATGTAATGTTTGTGTTTGATTGCAAGGCTGTGTTTGCATATAGTGTTGGTGTTTGCTTGCTGGGATGTATGCACATATGCACATAACTACATACTTACATAGATATACATACACATTGACAGACACACATATACACACACTCAGATACACACCTACAGACACATATAGATGCACGCATATACACACAGTGAGAAACACATAGAGACACACGTACTGACAAACACATAGATATACACACACGCACACTACACATGTAATAATGTATATATGTTTAGCCACCCTCTTTTCAACATACATTCTATGTGCAGGAGGCTTGACACCATTGGTAGTGCATGGGTATCCCAATGGGCCCTCTGAGTCGGATGCACCGGAGGTAGTTCCACCACTGATTACTCCAACTCTTCTAACTTTAAAAACAAAAAAACAAATAATGCCCTATTTGGCATTATTCTTTAGGTCTCCCTCTCAAATGCTCCAAGAAAGGAATTTCATGCATTTTACTCACCTTAAATCCCGTTCCAGGGTAGATTAACTCTGGTTGTGCAATGTTTCAATCTGAAACACTGCACAGACAGTTTCCTTCCTCCATGACCACTTCAAAAAGCAAAGTGGTTATGGACGTTGGGGTAACTGTTGGGGTAACTGTTAAAAATAATAGAGAAATAACAGAGGATTTGGTGATTTTTCCCACATGGAAATCATTGCAGAAATTTGCAATTTGTTTGATAATTTACCATCCCTGACTTTTTAGTGTATAACCCGCCCTCAGGGTTTACGAAATGTCAATGTATTGTATTAGTCATTAAGAGTGCTTAAGTACCAGAAACTGGTACTTTTTCATACCCTAGCCAAGGTAATCCACCCTCTTTGTTCTCCGCTTACAAAAGGAAGAGAGGCAAGCTAGGATGCTGTACATTACCCAAACATCCATGTTTGCTGCTTTCTAATAGAGGTTATTGAGAAAAAATATATATACCGGTACATGGGAAATGTGTGTGCTTGTGTCATTGCATTCACTGTTAACAAGAAAAACTATTTGTGCAAGTTATTGAGTCTTGGCTCCAAAACAGGTCGGTGTCATCGCCGCTTGAATTGTAGAGAACTATAGATACATTCTAAATACATATATTACACAGATACATTCTATTCTCGGCTGCTTAGAAATAATACTAAAAATATATAATCTTACATTAATTAGTTTATCTCCATCAAACTCCGTGACAGTGGTGATGTCTTCAAGTTTTGTAATCAGCTTGTTCCCTTCCCGATTAACAACAGCCTACAAGACAGAAAAACAAGAAATGAAAGGTTCAGTTTCATTGCCAGCATATCACCAGTAAATTCCATTAACCCTAATATAGGGGGAAAAACAGTAAAAAAACTAACTATAGAAATCAGGGGAAAATTTCCCTTGATAGCCATTGTGAACGTCAGTCTGACACTCAAATATTTCTGGATTGGGCTCATTTAATTGTGATGTTTTTTACATAGTGCTGAAATATGGAGAGTGTATTTATGGATGATGTACAGATTAGAGCTCAAGTGAACCAGTGAGAACTGTGAGGGTTAGGAGCTGTTGGCAAAGAGAGCCTGATCTGGTTGACCGGGCAGGGGACAAGCTGTGAGTTGGTGACCAACAGTTTCAGAGATAAGAATGACATCATATTATAAAAAGCGGTCTAGGTATTGTTTGTGTCTTAGATCAGAACAGTCCTCTTTATAAGGGGTACCTCTGATTGTCATGTAATATCATCTTTGACTATGTAGGGCACAAAAGAGACCCCACCAAGAAAACCCACCAGTCCACTGGCGATAAACGTGGGGATAGGACTCGTTTTACGGGCTGTTACTGTAAGAATCTGGACACCACGTATGGAATTTGGTGAACCAGACTATATACAACTATTTTTGCAAGGGTGAGGTGTGGTTATAAATTTTATTCTGGGCTGTATATGTATTGTCATACCTTGACCTTCCCTCCTTTTATTGAGTCAAACTCTGCCTCTTCACCTATGGTAAACTCACTACGTTGAACCCTAGGTCCCGTAGTCACAGTGAAAATAAAATGGTTTCCATTCTGCACAACTTCCGTGACACTCTTAGCATGCTTCCCCTTCTCTATCAGTTCTTCGGGTAGACCTGGAGAAACAAAACACAAATTGTATTAGACCACATAACTGCAACAACAAAATATTACAATTTTCTTAATCAAATAATATGATTTGGATTATATCTAATGCTTCGAATTAGATATAATTATGGTTGATTTTTTTTTTTGTTTTTTTACACTAAATGGCCTTTTATAATAGCAGTACTTTAACTTATGCATGTATTCATTTAATAGTGGAGTAAAGAGCTTTGAATTTGTTGCCAGATTGTCAGCTGTAGGTATAGAAAGCGGAACTGGTAAGGCAAACTGCGTGCACATTTACATTGTATCCTTAAAACATACATAGCAGCAGTTTGGATTTTTCAAATAAACATAGCGAATTTCTGTAAGACTTGTAAAATGTTTGTTCATCGGTAGCCGATTTGCAAGTGAATTTCTACTAAATTCCTTACATAAGCCATATTTAGGGACAAGTTTGGACATTATTAGTATTATTCTTATGATTACTGACATTTACATATCACAAGCAATCTCCGCAATGCTGTACAACTGAGAGAACAATACTGTACAAATACAGTGATCAATACAAAAGGTAAAGAGTCTGGAGCTGAGATCTATTAAAGATCTTTATACAAGGTACTCAGCTAGACAGTAGATAGATCTTGAGTTTAAAATTTGATAATTTTGATATATCAAACTGAAGTAAAAAATGATGTTAAAGTAAAACAATACAATAATAATTTTAAAAAAATCAGTCAATTTATTCCAGTTCCCTGTGGAGCCTATTTTGGGAGTTATTCCATGCAATCCCTTTATTATTCTGAATGTTCTGATTTGCCACAAACTGCAAGATATAAAAAATAATACCATATGGGAAAGATTAATTTTCATAACCAGTGAACTTTATCAACCCCATGGAAAAAAAAAAGTAGAAAAATAAATAAAAAATAAGCCAAAGAAAATCTATAGAAATGAGCAAAATATTTACTTAGATCACCTTTGTAATGGATCACTCTCACATCAAATAAATTCAGACTGGAGCCCCCTATCTATCTATCTATCTATCTATCTGTCTGTCTGTCTCTATCGATCGTTGGGTCGGTTGGTCTATCTATCTATCTATCTATCTATCTCTATTGATCATTGTGTCGGTCTGTCTATCTATCTATCTATCTATCTATCTATCTATCTGTCTGTCTGTCTCTATCAATCGTTGGGTTGCTTGGTCGGTCTATCTATCTATCTATCTATCTATCTCTACTGATCGTTGGGTCGGTCTATCTATCTATCTATCTATCTGTCTGTCTGTCTGTCTGTCTCTATCGATCGTTGGGTTGGTGGTCTATCTATCTATCTATCTATCTGTCTGTCTGTCTCTATCGATCGTTGGGTCGGTTGGTCTATCTATCTATCTATCTATCTATCTCTATTGATCGTTGTGTCGGTCTGTCTATCTATCTATCTATCTATCTATCTATCTGTCTGTCTGTCTGTCTGTCTCTATCAATCGTTGGGTTGCTTGGTCGGTCTATCTATCTATCTATCTATCTCTACTGATCGTTGGGTCGGTCTATCTATCTATCTATCTGTCTGTCTGTCTGTCTGTCTGTCTGTCTCTATCGATCGTTGGGTCGGTGGTCGATCTATCTATCTATCTATCTATCTATCTATCCTACTACCAGGTGTGATACTATGTACCTGTGCTGTTTTCTGTTGCTTACTTGCAGTACAGCATCTGTTTCATGACACACAGAGTAATTGGCTCTGTTTTTCCTCATTGCACCTTAAAATGAATACCTTCAAAGAATATTTTACTCATATCTACTCTTGTTTATACATTCACTTTCTAGCTGAAAACCGCAAGCTTAGAAAATAAAGAATCGCAATCTATGGCTCCTAGTTCCTGCAATAGCATAGCTCACCAATGGCTCTCATGAAAGTTTCAAAGTTCTCTTGTGACTCGAGCTGGTAGGTTCCACTGAATGCCATCTCAAAGTTGTCTCAGCAACTTCACAGAGAGAAGGAGCTAGAAAATGAGGTGTTCTAGCCCGTTTGCCTGTTTTTAACAGGTTTCATTTACCTGCGTCACCGTTTATGTTTGTTTTAGTTTTGTTGCCTGGGGAGATTAGGAGCATTCCATGAACAAGTTGTTTTAAACCTTGTCAACCTCTCTTAAAAAAATGTACAAAGATTGAAGTATTCTCTTAAATGTAAAAGTAATTTATATACTGCATTTACAAGGCTTCGTCTATTTAAACCAAATTCCACAGTAAGGATAGCCTCCTGTTTGAATTTTTCTTAAAACTAAATATTAACTGCCAATATATTTCATAATATAAGATTTTTAAAGCTGTTCCTCACGAATGCCCTTAACTGTGCAAATGTTATAGTAAACAATGACTCCCACACCCAAAGCACAGAGCACTTTATCCTGTATATCTCAAACAAATCCCAACTTTATTGACATTGCCGTTAGCATTTTATCTGCATTTTGCAATTGCTGCATCAGTTTTATTATTAATTTTTGCTTTCACCATTTTAGCCAAACACATGTTGTTTTTCTTTAGTGGATGAAGATATGCAGATGGAAGTCCGTGAGACACGAGTCTTCTCTTCTTACTTTGAGTTGCAATGTTAATTTGCCTTTCCTGTAGTAGTTTTGGTTGCCTGTGTGCACTATCATCACTAAGATGTCAAGTTTGAAATATAGACTGAGATAGTGACAGGGCATACGGAAGGATAGAATGTTATAATGATGAAGGAAATAGACAACTCACAGCATACATAAATACACCCTATGTGGATGGATGTCGTAATAGAATTTTGTTGAGGACTTATACGCATTTTCAGCATGAGATTACAGTCGGAACTGTAAAGATTACATTTCCTATGATTACATGAGCTGCCTTTTAGCACAGTGTGATTACTAAATAAATTAATGTCCCCAGCAACACCTAATGATGGAGTGGATCTCCATTCTCTTGTGCCAGGAATTGCACTCGTTCATAGATTAGCATTACCTTTATGACAGAAGATCCCCCCATCGTCCCCTCTAGAGCATATGGAATAGGGGGATAGATGGGAGCCAAGGACTACTGTTAAGGGGTGCAGGAAACTCATAGTGTTACAAAGCTGAGATCGCTCCCTCTCTCTATCTTGATACTTTGTTTTAGCTATCAATAGGCTTGGTTTTTAATTTTTGTACCATTTTTGCAAGTACTCAGGAATACCGCTAACAATACATCACATTACCTGGTTACACCAAGCACAGGATGCCGCCAACTTAGATCTCTTTCCAGGTAATCGATTTTATTGATAATACTGCCCAGGACAAATGGCAGCCTTTACTGTGACAGAAACCAGTTACAATAAATCAGGTCAGGCCAGTTCACTCACACACTCACTGCGGGCTTGTCTAGTTAAAGCAACAAAAATGGATCCTTTCGCTCAAGAAAATTATTTTTCCCTCATCGAGACAAACCTTGAATTTCCTGTATGGCACTTCATCTTTGTTCTAATCACACTTGCCCTAATCCAGTCCTATAAATATACAGTAAGTGTATGCCCTAACCTAAATAAAGTTCATAAAAATTGAACTAGTTTGAACTAGTGAAAATTGGACTCGTTTGAACTAGTGACTGAATTCAACAACCTGGAATCTGACAAAAAATATCATATTTTCTAATGTAGTTGTCCTTCCGTCGAAGATCCTCCTGAAATTGTGTAAAGGTGCTAGCAGTAATTTTGTTAATATTTAGGCTGGAATGATCACTTACCTGGACGGATAACAAAACTACATTAAACTTTCTTCAAATAAAAATAAAAATACATTCAAGCTCTTTATGTCAGTTGGAGATAAATACACTACCATACCTGAAAAGAGTAAGTAAATTTGGGGGCGTTGCATGACTGTTATGTTGGACAGACGCATCTTGTATGAGCTCAGGCACATGACTGAATAAAATCTGCTATTGCTACAAATGACACCCTCATTGACGGCCTTAGCTCACCCTGGGTGCTCCTGGACCACTTGGAATGTGTACTGGAACGTGTTTGATGTCCCCAGAGATCCACGTTGCCAGAAAACAGATAGCAGGCTTGATGGTCTAGTGAGTCTGGGGTGGTGGGGAAGCGGACAATATCCACTCCTGACCTGTGCTGCCGTATCTCCACAGGAGTTGGAGTAGCACGCGGCATCCACCATCTTGTGCATGTGTGAAAGACTCCATTACTGTCACATGACCTGGAATACAGTATACATGTAGAAAACAAGAGATCACAAGCCCCAGAAACTATTACACCTGAGGGAGATGTGTGGAAGGAAAAGGCCAATTAAGAATTCTATAAAAAAGGATTTTGGGGTTTAGGGACTTAAGTACCTTGTACCAGTTAAAAAAATACATAGTGTATGTACGTAGTGGTGATTTAAAACCATTGACACTTTTATGTTGTAGCCCTTAGTTCCTTTTTTATTGTTTTATGTTTTGTAGTAAATTATATTGATATACAAATTGGACTTGGTCCTTGTTGGCTGGTGATCCACATTGGTGGTAGTTTATTATTTGCCAAAGAAAGGCCAACCGCCAATGTTTTATAGAACCTGGTGAAAGCTCTAAAAGATATGTGTAGTTTAGAAAAGTAGCCTTTAGCTGCACTTCTAATACAAGTTACGCTATGAATCGATTTTCTTTTGTTTTTTTTCCCATTATAGGAATTGTCTCTCAGTGTTCCTGAAACAATTATTTAAGAGGAAAGCATAACTTATTTATTAAAGGATCACTATAGTGTCAGGAAAACAAAGCGGTTTTCCTGACACGACAGTGCCCTGAGGGTGCCCCCACCCTCAGGGTCCCCTCCGGTGGCGCTGAAGGGGTTAAAACCCCTTCAGCCTCTTACCTTATTCCAGCACCGGGCTCCTTCCCTCGGCGCTCCCTTGGCGCTGGTGACCTCTTCTCCCTCACCGACGTCAGCTCCCTCTGCCGATGTCAGAGGAGCCGAATGCGCATGCGCGGCAAGTGCCGCGCGCACATTCAAAGTGTCCATTGGAAAGCATTTCTCAATGCTTTCCTATGGACGCTCTGCGTGATGGAGGCATAATATGCCTCCAGCGTCACAGATGCGCCTCAAGTGGCAGTCCGGAAGACAGCCACTAGAGGCTGGCTTAACCCCAAATGTAAACATAGCAGTTTCTCTGAAACTGCTATGTTTGCATTTGAAGGGTTAAAACCTGAGTGACATTGCACCCAGACCACTTCTTTGAGCTGAAGTGATTTGGGTGACTAAAGTGTCCCTTTAATGTATTTATCACAGTGTGTCTATTTATTATTGTATATTTATTTATTTATTGCACTTTATATGTGTGTATTTTTTTTAAATAAAAAGATGCTCAAGGAACATGTAGTTAATAAATGGTGTAGATCGAGAGGAAACAGGAAGAAGAAATTGTTAGAACAATACATTATAAAGTTGGGTTGCAGAAACAATAGAATTCATGGTATGGCCAATTCTGTTCAAAGCAGCAGACACCTCTAGAACTATTAACCGGGCGTTGTATCCCTTATAT